GATGCTGCTTGGCCTGCTGTGTTCATCCAGCTCTGCACCTTGTTGTCTCAGATTCTCCAGCATCTGCCGTTCCTACCTACTCCCTCTCAACACAACTCGCAATTCACCAAAACAGAAAGACTCAGCCCAATGAATCTTACAGAACCTTGGAAACTAATTAAGGTGATCTCAACAAAGCCCTGTATTCTTGCAGCTAGATTTCCTTATTTTTGTATTCAAAGTCCTTGCTAAAGCTCACATGCCATTTTCATTTCCATTTGCTTGCTTTACCTTTATTTATTCTTTAATGGGATACAGGCATTGCTGTCAGAACATTTGGTGTCCGTTCCTAATTCTCCTAAGTGTTAGTCTGCAGTGTTTCATTTACAAATTCCTCTGGACACCAACACATAATTGTTTTTAAACGGTGAGAAACATTCTCTTTTTCGACACTTCCTATTAAACTGAACAATGTCACATTATAATCCTCTGCTCTGTTTTTTCCCCATTATTTAACCACTCCCTACATCACTGCCGTTGCTTTCCTCTCTAACTTTGTAAAATCAGCAAGTCTGGATCTATTAAGCTTGGTCCCTTTGAATAGATTCTAAATAGCTGAAGCCCCCTGCTCCTTACACCTGCCACCCAAAAAATAGCTGATTTATTTATTCTTTCTGCTTTTGTCTTTTAACCAATCCTCCATTGATCTTAGTGTATTACGCTCAACCTCAATCTTGTCTAATAAACACAATTTGTTTTACAAAAAGACATTATTCATAAAATTTACAACCATAATTTACACAATTGTTCAAATTTAACATTAAATAAGGTGCAAACCATGTCAGTTTTTTTTTCAATATGTAAGTTACTCATTACATTTACAATTACATTTAGGTGATTAATTATCAGTTAAATGCACAGCTTAAGGTATTGTACCCAGTTTCCAGCTATTGATATACAGCGGCTCAAAGGCCATAGGCTGTGGTCATTTCCCCACTGATCCTTTATGGTGGCTACTCCAAGCTTTTGTATATCATCTTATCCAATACTGGTTGAAATATTATACTGTCCTAGTTACACACTCAAAAAACAAGCTCCTTCATAGAGTCATAGAGATGTACAGCACCGAAACAGACCCTTCGGGCCAACGCATCCATGCCGATCAGATATCCTAAATTAATCTATTTGCCATCCCATTTGCCAGTATTTGGCCCACATCCATCCAAACCCTTCCTATTCATGTACCCATCCAGATGCCTTTAAATGTTGTAATTGTACCAGACTCCACCACTTCCTCTGGCAGTTCATTCCATACATGCACCATTTTCGACATCCCTTTTAAATCTTTCCCTTCTTACCTTAAAACTACGCCCTCTAGTTTTGGACTCCCCTACCCTGGGGAAAAGTCCTTGTCTATTTACCCTATCCATGCCCCCCATGATTTTATAAACCTCTATGAGGTCACCCCTCAGCCTCTGACGCTCCAGAGAAAATAGCCCCAGCCTATTTAGCCTCTCCCTGTAGCTCAAACCCTCCAACTCTGGCAACGTCCTTGTAAATCTTTTCTGAACCCTTTCAAGTTTAACAACATCTTTCCTATAGCAGAGAGAGCATAATTGAACACAGTATTCCAAAAGTGGCCTAAACAATGTCCTGTACAGCCGCAATATGACCTCCCAACTCCTAAACTCACTGCACCAATCAATAAAGGCAAGCGTACCAAACGCTTTCTTCACTACCCTGTCTACATGAGACTCCACTTTCAAGGAGCTATGAACCTGCATTCCAAGGTCCCTTTGTTCGACAACACTCTCCAGGACCTTACCATTGGGTGTGTAAGTCCTGTCCTGGTTTGCCTTTCCAAAAGGTAGCACCTCACACTTATCTAAATTAAACTCCATATGCCACTCCTCAGCCCATCTGATCAAATTCCCATTGTACTCTGAGGTAACCTTCACTGTCCACTACACCACCCATTTTGATGTCATCTACAAACTTACTAACCATCTCTTCTTCCTAATGATTTGACAAAATAAAATGTGTATCACATGTCAATATTGTTTTTCTTTATTAATTTGCAGCATTCATTGCCTGTCGCTAATTGCTCTTGAGGAGATGGGGGAGCTGTCTTTTTGTACCAGTAGCTGTAGTATGTAGAAATTGGAACATTGTTAACACAGTCGTCTTGACAGTTAATGCAACTTTATGGAACGAGCAACCTACTCAGCAAGTCCCTGTTTAAGAAGCGAGCTGCTAGTTTCTTTCTGTCACAAGAGGGCGATATCTGCACATTTTATCTCGTTCACTGCCCGTTCATTGACCTGTGTGTTATTCCTGAGCTTCTTCCAGAGATGTTTATTTATGTTCTCTCTTTGGGCTGTGTGAATGTGTTTTTTTTTGGTTTGCAGCTGAAACAGATGCCTGGCCATTTCCACTGCTCAACCTAATGCTGAGGCTATGTGTTATGTGCTAATTAATGACTTTGTCTAAACTTCCACCCCAGCAATGACTCGAACCACAGTGGTTCGAACCTGTTTCTCGCTTTGGACATCGCCCAGTTCGATAACTGCTCTGGTGTAGCTCATTCAAAAGGATAGCCTACGACCCAAACAGTTTATAGTTAGCCCCTTTTTTTTTCCTGATGCATATCTCCGCATAAATTGATCAAAGAACCTACTTTATGCACAAGCTGTTGTTAAACCACAAATGTTACTCTCAGACTGAAATTTTGTGCATGGTTTGAATACAGCCAATAGAGTCCGCACAGAGTGTATAATTGCACAAGCCAACATAGCCTTAGCAGCAGTGCGAGGACGGACTTTCTGGTCATTATCAGATTTTTGTTTATTAACGTTAGTGCCGTCTGTAAGAGCCTGTTCTGCACAAATTTGCTGCTTCATTTTCTACGTTAAAAACAGCAACTACACTTCAACATCACTCCTTGTTTGCAAAGCTGTTGGGACATCAAGTGGTCATAAAAGGCACTATATAAATGCATAGAGTCATAGAGATATACAACATGGAAACAGACCCTTCGGTCCAACTGGTCAATGCCAACCAAGTAATCTAAATTAATTTAGTCCAATTTGTCAGCATTTGGCCCATATCCCTCCAAACCCTTCCAAACATATACCCATCCAAATGCCTTTTCAGAATTGTAATTGTACCCACCTCCACCCCTTCCTCTGGCAGCTCATTCCATACACCCGCACCCTCTGCGTGAAAAAGTTGCTCCATAGGTCCTTTTTAAATTTTTCCCCTCTCGTCTTAAACCTATGCCCCCCTAGTTTTAACTCCCCCAGCCCAGGGAAAATACATTGCCTATTCACCCTATCCATGTCCCTCATGATATTACAAACCTCTACAAGGTCACCCCTCAGTCTCCGACGTTCCAGGGAAAATAGCCCCAGCCTATTCAGCCTCTCCCTATAGCTCAAACCCACCAAACCTCAACATACTTGTAAATCTTTTCTGAACCCTTTGAAGTTTCACAACATCCTTCCTATGGCAGGGAGACAGTGATCAATCGCTGATTAGAGGTTTGTTGAATGGAGTCAAATTCCAATGTTTGCTCGTTTTCTTCATAGGCTGTTGTACAGAATCAAACTGCGTTTGAGACTATGTACAGATGTAAACAAAAGCAGAAATTGCTGGGAAAGCTCAGCAGGTCTGGCAGCGTCTGCGCAGAGAAATCAGAATTAACGTTTCGGGTCTGGTGATCCTTCCGCAGAACTTTACTGTATAAAGGTTATTTTTTACGCATAATAAGACAGGACTTCAGATGATCAAAGCTCAACCAAATGGAGAAGCACAGCCCCCCACCCAGTTAATTTTCACTTCACTAACTCATAGGAAAACAGGTTCAGATGAGTTAGAATAGAACATTGGGCCAATTCCGGGAAATGACCATTAGCATTGGGGGGAAAAAGCGAATCAGAGCCAGACGAGATTATCAAACATACATGTTAACAAAATACGACCAAGGCTGTCTATTCAGAAAAAAAAGCCAGGTTTGTTTAAACAATCAAGGAGTGTTTATCCAGTTTATTCTTCAGAACCCTCCGCTGGATCTGAGACGTTAACTCTGCTTTCTCTGCAACGAAATAAAAACCAAAAGAACTGCGGATACTGTAAATCAGGAACAAAAACAAAGTTGCTGGAAAAGCTCAGCAGGTGTGAGGAAGGGTCACCGGATCCGAAACGTTATCTCTGTTTTCTCCTCCACAGATGCTGCCAGACCTGCTGAGCTTTTCCAGCAATTTTGTTTTTGTTTCTCTGCAACGATGCTGCCAGACCGGCTGAGATTTTCCAGCAATTTCTGATTTCCAGTTTCCGCAGTTTTTTGGTTCTTTTTCACTATACAAATGCAAATCCTTTAGTGTCTACTAGAGAACAGCTGGACTGGAATATGACAAAGATGGGAGAGAGAATGGACAAGGTTTGCATTTACAGATCACTCCAGACATTACTACACTCATTGTATCATCCTGTCTCATTTCTCCCAGGTTGTCGAATCCTAGGGGCTGCCGAAGATTGCCGACTCCGAGGTCCCCTGAGTCCTCGGGATGCCGGAGACTCCCGAACCCGAGACTGCCGGTCCCGAGTCCACTCGACCCGCCGGAAACTGCCGAAGTGTGGGGAAGGTTGAGACTGCCGGAGATTGATGAATCTGACGTCCTCCAGCCCCGCCGGTGCCGAGTGCCGCCGGAAATTGCCGAAGCGAGGAGAAGGTTGTGTCTACCGCTCGCGCTCGGGGGTTCCTGTTGGCGAGGCGATGGCAACTTCAACGGAGCGCCGCGCTTTCGCTCAGAAAATTAACCGGTGAGTACGCACGAACTGTCCCAAAAGGCAACTTTCGTCCGCCGGCAGTAACTTTTATTTTTATTTTGGCCGGTAGAGGGGTTGTTCCGAGGAGTAGGGGGGCAGGCGCCGCCGCTGGAAAGTCTGAAGTTTGAATTCAGTCAGTCACTGGAAGGCTTGAAATTTACCTCAGGAGCTGAAAACAATGGGAAAAGCGGCCGGGAGAGGGCCTGATCTGGGCGGGAGCTGCGCCCAAGTGTTACTGGCGCAGGTGTCAAGCCGCCTCCTTTTACCTGAGGTTGCCTGGGTTTGAACGAGCCAACATCGGAAAAAAAACAGAGAAGAAATGATTTTACTCAGAGGGTTGTGAACCTTTGGCATTCTCTATCACAGAGCTGCAGAAGTTCTGTCTTTAAGTATGTTTAATGTAGAGATTGGTAATCAAAAATTTATCAATGGCATAAAGGGGATGAGATGGATATAAAGTGTTGAAGTATTTAGTCAGACATGATCGAATTGAATGGTGGGGAATGCTTGATGAGCTGAATGACCTATTCCTGTTCCTGTGAGGTCTTGAAAGATGCTATGCAAATACAAGTTTTCATTCTTTATAATTTTTCCAGTCCCTTCTTTTGAATTCTTTCAACTTTTGCGAAGCCACAATTCATTCCTACCTTTTGGTAACCCTGAGGGAAGTTCCCATTTTTATTATGTGAATTGCGTGTCAGATGGCCATTCACCTGTTTGAAGCATCAAAGTCCACACCAGTTCTGTCTTCCCAGTCACGTGGAGTTTCTGAATGAGTCGGCAGCAGTTGGCATCCTGATTTGTTTTAATCCCCCCGCTTTCCTTGGGGGATAATTGTTTGCCTTCCAGATCAAGATGAATGCACTTGCACACAGTGAGCCATCAGACTAACTGGTTGCATTATCATTATCTGGCATATGAAAGAAACAAAATTTCAGGTTTGATATGCAGTGTTGAGTTATTTACAATAGACAGAAATGTTTTGAGTTTTTTGAGAGGCTACTGCCACTAGGAATGCTATAAAGGTCAGAGATTTTATTTATTTTTGTTGAGAGAAAGAGAAATGGGATTGAGATTAAAGTGATAGTACTTCTGTACGAAAGGTACAATGATTTGTCTATTTCCCTTCACGTTTTCTAGCTTTATATCAGTCATCTTTTTCAGTTAACTAGTAGACTAGTTTCAGTGATTTTTGCTATTTGTAGCACAGCCATTGAAGTGCTTAATTTCATGTACAGCACAGAGACCAACTGGATAGTAAAAGGTGATTAAATCCATTCAGGTTCAGGTAACATCATACAACTTGTGTGAATTGTTGCTGTTTTATGACCACCACTCAACGTTAAATTCCAGACTTGATTTTGCTGTCTGACATCGATTGTTATTTAATATATTGAGTTTCTGTGAGGGAGTTTATTCTGCTTATGGTCTGATCTTCAACTGGACAAATCAAACAAATAAGAGGAATGAACAATTGTGTTTCAGGTGCAGCACTCCAGCCTATCTTCACCATTGGCAGCCCTGCCTTTAGTTGCCTTAGCTATACACTTCTTCCACAATCCTGTTTGCCTCTTTCTTCACAGTTAAAACTCTTCTTAAATCTACTTATTTGATTAAGCTTTTGGTTATTTATCCTAAACGGTTTATGTAGGTTTGTGTCATATTTTGGTTGATAATTGCTTTGGAAAATTTTACTTTGCTAAAGGAACATCGTAATTCCAAGTTGTTGATACACACGAATTATCCCAAAAAGCTTTATACATTTTACTACTCTCAATGCTTTCCACTGTGTTGCAATTCCAATAGAATACATTCAACAACACCCTTGATTCTTGTTGCATTTGTACAAATTCACATATGAGCTATTCGTATTAATCAATCAAATATTTATATTATGTATTGTTAATGCAACAATATTCCAGTCTTTGATGATTCAAATGGATGAATGCAAATATTGCTGGCTTAGGAAGCATTGTGACAGGTTGTAACATCAGAGTCCCAAAACAAAATTGTAATCTTGATTTCACCAGCTAGCATTGCCTGTGGTTTAATATTTAATTTGCTAAAAAAAGGTGTGCTGAGGCTCTATTGATAACCCATCCAGGCCATACTGAGATATTGTAGATTACCTCAGTGGGACAGACCTATTTTTCCAATCAACTTGTTTAAAGATGTTATTACACTCTGGAGCAGGTGGGATTTGAACTCAAGCCGCCTCCTCCATGGGTAGGGACACGATCACAGTGTGACAGGAGGAGCCGCTCAGTGGGACAGAATGTTTCATTTGACTTCAGTGTACCTGGATGAACAGGAGAAATTTGGCCTAAATCAAAGTCCTCAACAATACTGACTGAGGGTGTGTGTATGAAGATTTCGGATGAAGACAAGATTAGATTTGGCTATGGTGCCCTTTGGTCAAATCTACTAGTGACGGTACTTAAGCTCGTATGAGAGCTTTGAGTGTGATTCTGAAGGGGACTTTTCCTACATTCCCATTGGAGCAGGAGTCAGTCATTCGGCCCTTATCCAACCCAGTAGGCTCTTAGATTTTTTAAGAGAGTCATGGTATGCTGGGATACAGGGAAAAGGCAAGAGATTGGCACTCGTTAATAGAGCTATTGCAGACTCTAAGGGCCAAATGGCCTCTTTCTGTACTGGAATTAATTCTCTTATTCTTTGATAGTTAACCATGAAATAAGATCATGGCTGATCTGGTTATGATCCCATATCTTCGGCTTGAATGTCTCCACCTCTCCACCACCAATCATCCTTGAGTCACCTTCCTCCTACTACTGAAACCTTCCTTCCTGTTCTTCTTACCTCCAAGCTTGACTATTCAAATGCTGTCCTGGCCAATTTTTACCTTTACATCCTTTGTAAACTTGAACTCATTCAAGACTCTGCTACTCATGTCCTAACTCATCCCAGTTCCATTTGCCCATCAATCAAATGCTCTGGAACCTACATTGACTCCTGATCTGCCGGTAAAATTTGAAATTTCTATACTTATAATCAAATCAATACAACTACTTTTATCCCTCTGCTGTATCCAAGAATTGTACAAGGTACTTGTACTTAAGATGTCACCATAAGAAGGCAGACATTGTAGAAGTACATTGGAAACCTTTAACAATAGGGCACACGTGACAATAAAAGGATGTTGTATTGTATAGTCTCATCCCTCCATATTTCTATAACCTTCTTCACTTGTATGTCGCTGCAAATTTTTTTTTATGCAAACAAGGCCTCTTGTGTGAGCTCCACCCAAATAAAAGTGTTGACAACTATACCTTCAACTGTCTAGGTCTGAGCTCTGGAATTCCTTCCGCAAATCACTCTGCCTCTCTCTTTTTGCTTAAGACCTTCATTTACAAACTATCGCTAGCCAATTTTTTAGTCCTTCTTTTGTTCCTCTTCAGTTTATTTCTGAATGTATGTAGCGCCTTTCATACATTAGAAGCACGATATAAATGCAAGTGGTAGTTGTTTTCATTGGACGTTGTTGTACCATAATAAACTGCCTGTATCCATATTAATTTTTAGAGCTATATTTAACTATCATGAACATGGCATCTTATTTTATTGAGGCTGTACATTACACTTATGTTCCACAATCAATAAATTTGTCAAAGTTGTTTCTAGGACCTCTGTAAGCTTGTTAACTATTGATGATGTAATCTGAAACCCTGGGTAAGTGAGTGTTTTGTTTGCCCCAGGCATCTGGCGGTTGGCTATGATGATACAGTACGACGCGAGTATCTGCTTTCGGCAACCTTGAGGAGAGCTGTTGTTTTTTCAATAGGCAAGGCTCACAGCAGACAATGTACAGCTCAGTTTGTGACTTTGCAAGAGTACATTTGCTTTCTCACAGCTCACAATGAAGGACAGGACAGAGTGTAATCCCAAGATTGGGTACTGTTTTTTTAATGGATCTTAGTATTTTATATAAAAAAAAATTGTTTTGGCAGATTGAATGCAAGTGCATTGCATTTGTTGTTTCCCTGCTTGGTGGAAATTTCTGTTACTTTCACAGGGTCAGTAGAAAAGTAAATTTGCTGTTATTTCTTTCCCTTATTTTCAGTGTATTGATCTACATCAACTTTTCAGTATAAGTCTTTTGTTTTTCAACCTGTTATCACATTAATTCAGCTTTCCATGTCATTGGTGATAGGATTAGAATGGGAAGATGCTCACAGTTTTTTGTCAGACCCATTGCTATGTACAATAGATTGTAGTTATACTGTTGATGTCTTCGCTGGCTTTGTTGGTAGTACTCTCGGTTGAGTCAGAATGCTATGTGTTCAAGCCCCACTCTAGGTCTTGGGCACAAAAATCAAAAACTGAGATTTCAGTGAACTAGCGAGTCAATCCTAAACTGTCAGAGGTACAGTACTGTCCGTCAGATGAGGTGTTAAACTGAGACCCATCTGTCTTCTAAGGTGGATGCAAAAGATACCATACTACTATTTGGAAGAAGAGCAGGGGCATTCTCCCTGCTAACTGAGTTAAATAATTGTCCTTCAATCAATATCACAAAAAAAAACTATCTGTTCATTATCTCACATTTATTTGTGGAAGTTTGCTGTGCACAATTTGGGTGAAGCATTTACGACTTAAGAACAATAAGTACGCTCAAAACCTAGTGGAAGCAATTTGACATTGATCCTGAGGGATTTGTAAGGCTAAGAACTTCAAGAGTACTTAATTGTCTCTAAAGTGCTTTGGGACATCCTCTACTCATCAAAACCCCTAGATGTATAGACGATTTTTTTTCTTTCATTTCTACTTAAAATTAACTTTTAATTAGTTGCTTGGTGAAGAACTGAGCAATACGATCAGTACCTCACTGATGCTGCCCATTCTTTTAATTGTGACTTGTATTAGAAACATTGCTCGAAGTTTTACCCCAGCCCAGTTTTATGATCCATTATCTTCCCCTTCCAGGTAAAGGAAATGACAATGAGTGTAAGCAAAATCTATCTTGACTTATCAGG